AGAAAAGCTAAAGACAACCTGGACGTTCAGAAAAATATAATGAACTTATACTGCCTTTTTCGGAAAAAAACTGCTTCCCAACTAGGAAAAACAAAGATGAACAAGCATATCAAGGATGAACAAGGAAATGTAAATAGCAAGGCTGAATTTTTGGCCAATTTTGGCAAATTTTTTTGATAGAAACTAAAGAAGCTCAAGGTCCCGTTGGGAAAAAAGCAACAAACCCTATTATTACAAACAACTAAACAAAAGCAGCACCTGCCAAATACTTCATGCTTTTCTGTAAAGGATTACTCACAGAGGACTAATAAAATAATTCAAGCATCAAAACAGATTTTACCATAGAAGAGTGCAAACAGCCACACTGGAGAGTAAAACAAAAAGAAATAGATGTCAGGCCCCTAATTTTTAAGATTTAGTGTTCTATCATCTTTCTCATGCTGTTTCCTAAAAAATAATAAAAGTAAAAAAGGAAATCAAGAGCTTTGGACTCAGATAAATCTTTGTATCTCTCCAAACTGACCTAAAAAGATAGCTACTCACATGGACTGGCATATTGAAATAATCAGACTTAAAATTATCTGCCATCTCTCCAAAGCTCTGAAGTGTATACTCTCGTACAGCTTGTTCAAATCCAAAGGCTTCTCGAGGTTTGTTACATTCCTGGAAAGAAAAAAAATATCTAAGATTAACTCACTGAAACTGAATTGAAGAAAGCTTTAAAGCTCTTTGGTACTATCTTTTTCGACTATCTCCGTAAGTAAAGCAAATCCGATCAACCCTAGAGAATAAAACAAGTATTAGCTACTTGCAATACGGTATCAGGAAATTATGTTCTAGAACTTCAAGTGCATTTTCACAGCGTTCCAATAGGAAGGTGGTAATGAGACAGCTTTAGACTCTGGAGTTGGCATTAAGCTCTGGCACCATGACAAGCACCTACAGGACTACTGACCTGGAATCAAGCCCAGGGATGCCTTTTTTTTTTTTTTTAAGGCTAGTCAAGTGAAGCAGTGAGAGTGGAGAAGGAACAGAGGAATCTCTAACTGCCTGAGATTAGTTGTAAACACTAAACATCACTGCACTCAGACCAGTCAATGCCTATCATTTTTAGCATACCAGTGGATTTGGCCATGGAGAAAATAAATGTTCATGAGGGAGGGAAAGGTAGATAAAGGGATATCCACTGGATTGCCAGGTTAACTAAGAGAATGGTTTTTTCACACTAGCAATCACCATGACCACTGTCTTAACACAAATATATACTCAGAGGAGAACTGCCTTCTGAATCCAAAGACCATTGAATGCATCTAGATAACACCCAGCAAACTTTATAATAACATTTTCTTAAAATAAGTAAACAGACTAGGCATTTCATGACATGACATCATTATAATCTTTCAATAAAAAAAACTTAGTACGATCATGTCAAATTTGAACAAGCTAAAAGACACCATCAGTTTATTTACTAGCATGAAACCTGGATGCATAAATCCCAAGTTCTACAGCTTCATGTCTGGTTGTACTTTCTTTAAAAAAAAAATTAAAAAAGAAAAAACCACCTATAGCTTTTCTTCGTTTCTACTGTTGTCCAGCAATATGAATATTCTGAGCAGAAGTCTCATTCATCTGCAGCAATAAACAGAATTCTCTAACCAACAGTTAGAAAAAGAACCTTTGAAAGGCAAGCGACAACAATACAATTGCTACATTTCTATTCAATATAGCTCATTTTAAAATCCTGGAAATTTTAAACACTGAAGAATAAAGAGAGTGGAAAAAGCTTTTGGGAACATGTTTACATGTATCCCTGTGCATGCACTGTTGTTTTCAGTGAAAGGACGATCCATAAAGGTTAGACTTGTACCTCAGCAACACATTTAGGACACCGCCAGTCTCCTTTGGGCACATCAGGTAGTGGAGGAATTAGACAAAAAGTATGATAGCTGTCATCACATCCATCACACAAAAGCAATTTATCTTCGTTGTTTCCCCGACCACAAAACATACAAACATACAGATCAACCTGTTTAAAAAA